AGAAAGAAAGAAAGAAAGAAAGAAAGAAAGAAAGAAAGAAAGAAAGAAAGAAAGAAAGAAAGAAAGAAAGAAAGAAAGAAAGAAAGAAAGAACCTCTTACACTATAGGATAGGAACACATAGCATTTGAGCACTGTTCCTTGGAAACAAAGTGAATTAATGGCAGTAGGATTAGCCATTACCCTGGCGTATACAAGGCACAGAAGTGCACAGCCAGTGGAGTGAACCAGAGGGAAGAAGTTGGCTTTGGGTAGCTATAGTGAAGTTTTTATGCAAGAAATGCAAGACACACACACACAGCAAGTCAAATATACTATTTGTTACCAAATCACCAATCTTATTATGTATATAAATATAAACATGTAAATGGGTATGAGTACAGGCATATGTGGATGGCTGTGGATATGCGTGTGCCAGATATAGCACATGTGTGTAGTATTAAGTGAGCTCTGAGAGAAATGTGCAAGAAGATGCACTAGTGTGCTTGTTTGGGGAGTTGTTAGGAAAAGGAGGAGAAGAAGAAACAAACAAAAAATAAAGCTGAACATTACCTTTCAAGTTTGGGAAGTTTCCTTTGTTCCGCTCTGAACTGGATCCATAGCATGTTTTTATCGTATTTTCTGGGACACAATTAATTGTTGATGCCACTCTTATTAAAAAGTATGCTTTAACGAAAGAAAACTTATTTAAGAGATGCTGTTGACTAACTGCCACCAGAGTCAGAGGGTTGCCTTTAGTCATTAATTCATCGAGTGCCTAAATAAATGAAAAAATGTGGAAAGCAAATTAGCCAAAACTTTGTATCTAGGATTCACTTCTGCACCCCATTCACATACATCAGTGGGTGTTGTGTGAAGGAAGCCGCTGATGGACATGAGGGACAGACAGGGACAGACAGACCATCCCAGCAGCTCTCCAGAACCTCTGCTGTCCCCATCAGCCTCAGCCCTGTCATGTGATGAGAGGAACAGGTGCGAAAGCAAGGCAGTAGACGTGTCATCGAAACAGAGAATAAGGCTATGGAAGGGTTATCCTTGGCTAATCCAATGTTCAGCTCTCAGTCCTCAGAGGCCCTGTTACTTTCAGTGGAAAACACCATTATTTTACATACAGTTAACTTGTCACACCCCCTCAATATACAATGCGTGCAAATTTCAGGAATATTAAGTGTGGGGGTAGAGAGAAAAGCATATTAAAGACTTGGTCAATCATGGTACGTGCATCCTCAACAAATTTTGACATTATTAATTCCCTTTTTGGAAAACTCTCTTTGTTTTTAAGCCACAGATTCCCTGACCTGCTGACCACTTTTCAGTCTTCATTGCTGGCCCTCCTTGCTGTCCTGCCCCAGGGCTCTGGTCCTTTCCACTGTCCTTACTCCTTCACGGAGGTGACCTTCATCATGCTCATGTTTTCATCTCATCCAAATGTCAATGACATCCCAACTGCTTCTCTCTAGTTCCAACCTCTCCTTGAACTCAAGATCCATAAACAGAAACTCAGTTCCTCTGCTGTGATATCTAACAACATCTCAAACGCAACATGTCCAAAACTGTATTCCTACTCTCCTCTACATGCACGCATACACACACACACACACACACACACACGTCCTTTAAGGGCTGGGAATTTATATTGTCAATTGACTGATCTATTTATTTGAAGACACAAAGACAGTATCTCTCACTTTTATTAAATATTTGCTACTTTGGGGTAAAAATGGTAACTGCTTGGACTAGCTTTTCAAGAAAAGAGAGAGCAACTGTTTGCATGTAAATGAAAAGAAATCTCAGTGTTTGGGAGCATCTGAGGCGATAGATGCTGGCAGTGGGGAGATATGTTGCTGTTGTTCATTATCCTTATTTAACCTCCAGAAGGGCTGGAAATCAGTGCCTGCACAAGAGCCAGGCATGGAGCAGCACCCAGCCAGCATCAGCTAGTAGTGAATTACTGTCCTAGGAAAATGGTTGATATTCCCCATCTGGAGAAGAAAGTTCAGAGTGACTGAGAGGTAAGGGAAGAGGAGAGAGAGGAGATCTCTTTTCTCTCCATAGCATAGAGTGAGTTAGTGAGCCTTGACAACTACACACACACACACTTGAGGATCAAAAGAAGATTAATGAGTACTGCTGCTATTTAACACTCCTTTCTCTGCCTCTACATGGAAATATAAAGTATAATCTGAAGATTCTCAAGCAGACCAACAGTTCTGTTTTAATTAATTAGCTAATGGAGATCAGTTTTCAATTATACTGTCAGTCTCTCTCTGCTTAAAAAAAAAAAAATCAGGCAGACATTGCTGTTAAATCCTAAATCATTCCTCAAAAAAGTGTTTTTACAGGACAGCCCCGGTGGCACAGTGGGTTAAAGCATCACACAATGAAGCTCTCCGCAGCCACTGCAGCACGAGTTTGATCTCCCACCAGGGAGCGGACCCGCATGGCGCGGCAGACCTCTCCTGACCCGCCTGCTGCTCCCCTCAGCAGTGTATTTCAGTTGATCTGCCTCTTCTGCTCCCCACTCTGTCTCTGGTGAATCCTTTCACCCACTACCGCTCTGGCCTGTAACCCAGTTCTGTAAGCATGAACAAATCTTAAAAAAAAAAAAAAAAAAAGTATTTTTACTATGGGGAGAGGGGCAGGAACAAAGTGGAAAGAGCACAAAGCATGATGGGGGTGGACTGTAGGTGCTTGGGTGTGGTGTCATCACACCTGAAGGGGGAGATCCTCTACTTGTAAAACACAAACAATATAACCCAATATTGACTTGATTTTTTTTAAAGTATTTTTAGGGTGCTCTGGCATTTATAACTAGAAAGAATATCTTTGACATCCTAAGGTCTTGGAACACTTAAATGAAGTAATCAATATCAGTTCTTTCATTTCAGGCAACTTATACATTACAGCAACGTTGAAGGCAAAAACAAGGAATCATCTGAAGCATAATGAAAAGTGGTTTGTGGAATAAATAGTACAACAGTAATAAATCGCATTTAATGAAAGGTGGATATATTCTTATCAAAATCATGGGAAGACAAAAATAAAACAATTGTGAGGAAATGTCTTTCAAAATGATTTCATAAAAATAAATTCCTTGCTTAATGAGACAGAATATTGTTTCCTAGCATTTAACAAAGTAATAAAAAGTATGTGTGTCCACCTCTGCATCACCGCCCGCTGGCCATGTGAACAGTGGGGACCATGTGAGCACATGAGTGTGGGGACCCTCATCCTCCTGGGGCAGCGAGTGGCTGATCACCCCCCTTCTGCTCCAACAGCTTCAGTGGAAAGACTGTCCATACTCCTAGATTCTTTTAAATGCTTAAATCAAGATATTTAAATAGGTCATCAACTTAGTAGGTCATCAAGTGCCTACATCCCAGTAGTTCAATTCTTGACGAGAGAGGTGGTCCTCTCTCTTGAAGAGTACTGGGGAAGTGAGAGGAGCTACTTACGAAAATGTCTTATAAAAACCTTCCAAACCATGGACTGGGACCAGTCTTGAAACAGGGAGGAGAGGATATGATCGAAAGTGGTTGTCACAAAAGGTACAAAATTCTTGTCTTAGCAACAAGCCAACAGTTAACTTCTAGGTAATCAAGATACACCAAGTTAGAGACTTGGCAAAGCTAGATGGACAAACTGAATGCACCTGTGTAAATAACACATTAAGAACAAACGGGTATTTGCCCAATCTGAAAATCAGACCACTTTGGGTGCAACCCTACCATTCCCTACAGCATTTTGAGATAAAACCCCACTATCCAGAAACAGAAGAGTGGGGCCCTCCCTAGTGGTGCAACAGTTTAAAGCACAGCACTAGAGTTGGCCATGGCCACTATAGCAGGAGTTCGATCCCTGGGGCAGGGAGGTGACCCACATGGCACAGCAGACCTCTCCTGTCTATCCCGGTGCTCCCCTCAGCAGTGTACTTTATCAATCTGCCTGTCCTGCTCCCCACCCTGTCTCTGGTGAATCCTCCCACTGCTCCTGCGCCTCGGGCTTGTACCTGAGTTCTGCATGCATAAATAAATCTTACAAAAGAAATAGAAGATCACCCTACATAACATTTTCAAAAACAAAGATGACACATATTAGATTGAAATCAACTAAAAATCATGCACACGGATACCTAATGTTTACATAATATTGTTATCCTTACCTGTATATTTTCTTTACTGGTAAGAGGTTTTCCTGAGTCAAATGACTGAAATATCTGTCAATACACAAAGCATTAACATTCGGAAAAAGATTGAGTATTTTTTAAATGGAGTTGTTAATGTGTTGTCCTAAAAGTATTTTGAGCATCATTTTTACTGCCTAGTAAAGGCAAGTATAGGATACTGAAGAAAGCAAAAATCACATACAAGTCAGCTTCCTCGGGTTGTCAAAGAAATTGCTACCAATTTCTTTTCAGTGATTTTAAAAGTTACATAGATTTGCATTCCATTTTCATTTAACATTAGAGCATACTTATTTTCTCAGACCATCAGGTTACTCATAAACCTCAGGCTAATAGGTATATTAAATGCTATCCTGTGACTGTAGCAGGATATTCCATTTCCCACAGCAAGACATCTAGAGAACACTTCCCACCCCACCACTCAATCCCAGTTTAAATAACATTGGTGACTATTTGATCTTTATTTCTGGTTATAACCTTTGCATAGATTCCTAGAATCCTAACTGCTGGCTCAAGAGGTAGAATATATTGCAAAAACCTGCAGGGGATGACCTGACCTCCATGTCCACCTCCACTGTATGGAAATGCCAGGAATACTGCACCTTTAACAGTTAAGGATTAGCCTTTGGAAAAGTGTGCACTCTCTTGGTTCACAGATGCCCATTTGTAGAAGCCCATGATGATGTCCAGCCCAAATGCTATGGTCACCTGGAAGTCACTCACCTAGGAGTGGAACCCACCTCAAGAGTCTGCACCTCTAATGGAGGCATTTTGTAGCCACCGGATTTCAAGAGAGTTTGGAAGAGCAGGGAGACACCCACACCCCTGCTTTGTTGCCACCCCCAAACCCCCTCCCTCTCCAAAATATAGAATTTCTTTAAGCTTGTGAAAAGACCAGTAGAGATCTGCAAGATTTTTTCATTTACTTCTTTTATGACTGATTAAGTCATTAATCCTTTCGTTAAAGAACTAGCCTTCCGCCTCACATTGGCACCTATTTTAATTATAAACCCTGAATGCATTTCCACATTTAATTACACTTTTGAAATTCCCAATTGAAGCTGGAAAGCTGCAAATTAACTTTGAGGACACAAAATTTGAAGACATAATCTACTGGGAGAAAATTTACCTACACTTTGGTCTTACAAATACTAGCTGATAAAAGCAAAGTTTGGAATTTACATGTAGAAATTAGTTTCAGGCTGTTGGTTTGCCTGTTTTGGTGAAAACAGTGGTCACTGAATATTCTAACTGGCTTCTCTTCTCTCACAGTCTTCTCGGATCCTACCTGGATTCTACCTTCCTCTGCCTACCTTGGTCCCCAGCTGGCTTTATCCAGTCCAGTGATTTTAAATCTCTATGCTAATGCTCCCAAGTGTCCGAGACAATTTTATGAAAGCGCAGTCTAAATTGCAGAGAGACAGACTTCAAAAACAAAGAAATGACTGAATAAACTCAGGAGAAATACCTTCATCTTCCCAGTAGTTTTAGAGCCAGCAGGTGTCGAGGAAGGCATGTTTTTTCCATGAAAAATCTGGGACATCTCATAGAAGGCTTCAGAGAAGAATCTTAAATCTACAAGTATTTCTATCTTTAAAGGAGAAAGGGAGGGGGGAGGTGATGAGATTTCAAATAAATCAGTATGTTTGACTTAAGAAACAAAAGTTTCAGAGAAAAACCAGTGACATGCCGAGATCTAAAATGTCCGCTTAGTGTTGGTAACATGTCATGAAGGATGTTTAGTAAATGCAGGTGATGGAAATGCCTGTGTTTGTATGAAAGTTGATTTCTGTGTATCACGGATGGACCAAGGTGCTCGGAAAAGGCAGGACTATTCAAGAAATGGGCATTAAACAAGTGTGGTTCAATTAGAGGCAAACACATAAAATATGACAGGTGTGAAAAACATTTTTGAAAACTAATAGAACTCATCTTTTTGTACTCATGGTGAGCTAAAAAAAAAAATCCCAGATGTTCTCTCACACCCTGGGGAAAATCAAGGAAGTCAGGAGACTAAGTCTACATATATATCACTGTATATCATTGCTTTATCAGTCATGAATAGACACTGTGAAGACATGGACTTATCATTAGTTAATTGGTTAACAATATATTGGTTTTGTGATTACAATTCAGCAGAAAGTTAAATCAGGAAACTACAGGGAGAGAAGATCCTGTTCCAATTCATTCATTCCATTTGCTGGTGGGCAGCTCTGATGCATCAAGCCCTCTGGGACTTTCCCTTCCATCAGGATGTAGACTTTGCTAAGAGATGTGACACCCAAACATCTAGACATTGTAAAAAGGGTTGATGGTTATGACAATGTGCTCTTTCCAAGGTTGTAGTCAAGGAGTGTGGAGAAACAAGACAGTCGCATCCAGGTACACCTGTGGAAAATGACGAGGTCATGATGACCAGAACGCTGAGTACTCTCACATAAACAGGATCTAAAAATGGGCCTTGAGGTTACATGATCTCAGCGAGTCTCCTGACATGAACCTTCAGCAAGCTCTTTTGTTTCTCCCTACACCCATCATCTGGACCCAAGGAATTTCCTTCCTAGTGTGGGCAGAGGTGGTTAATGCTCCTCGAAAAACCTTACAATGTATTACTTTGATCCTTACTTCTATAGTGTATGTCTTAATTTGATAATGTATAAGACCCTGGGAAATAAAGATTGACACTGAAGCCTGGGCCTCAGCCCCTCACTCAAGTCTGTGACTCCATTCTTTCCAAGTCCCGGGTCCATGATCCCCAAGATCAATAAAGGAGGACTTCTTGAGGCAATCACCTTCAAAAAAAGATTTGGGGAGGGGACAACAGTGAGGAGCAGTCTAGGGGTGCTGATGTGCAACAGAACATCCTGTGTGGCAGGAATTTGGGGAGTGAGGGAAAAAGGGATAGGAATGGAAGACAAAAAATTTAATTTATTCTCAACCAGTCTACCCTTCTTATACTTTCCTTTAAACATTGCCTTAGGAACCTAAAAGTATAAAAATTTTAAAGAAATAAAAATTAGAGGAAAAGGGATGTGACAATAATATGAAAATTAAACATGACAGATCAGAGAATAGTTTCAGTGGAGAAAACAGCTTGGTTCTTGCCTAAAGCACCTTGGGTTCTAATCTGCCCCTATTGTCACGGGACAGCCAAAAGGTGCGTGGGGTGGGAGCACAGGGAGTCTGTCAGCCTTCTAGATGACTTTACCCCAAAAGAAAACACTTCCCCACAGCTGTGGGAGGTTAGAATACTCTGGTCTTGACTGTTAAGATTGCTGTACATGGGCCATGACCTGAAAGGGCGAAGGCGACTCTGGCTTCAGCTTAGCAGATTCACCTGACCACTTGGAAAAGCGATAGAGATCATAACGGACACACATTTTCAGAAACGCCCAACCTTGTGAACACAAACAATCCAGATGGAAGAAAAGACAACTCATAAATCAGCTCTTCACTCCCACAAAAACTGAGTGGCACCCTTCCCCCAAACACAGGATATTTGACAATAATAAATCTTTTAAGATGTTAGCCATTGTAAAGTGAAGCCAGGTCAGTTGATCGTAAAGAGGTTGAAAGCTTCCTCTGAAAGACACAGGGTACTATAGAAGCTTAACAGCATGATCCGTCGCTGTCCCCTTGCCAGAAAACATCAGGGTTTACAGTTTCCTCACTAGAGCTTTTCTCTTTTCCTACCCACTTTCCTCTGAAAGGTCACACAAAGCCCGTCACACAGACTGCCATTCATGCCTCAATAAGGCTGCCCTTTTCCTGGGCCCATGGAAATCTGGTCTTTCAGCACCATGACAGTAGGATCCTGTGTCTCTCACTCTGTCCCTCTGCTATCAAATTCTATGATTACTTTCCCTGCCCCACCTAAGGCCACAGAATTGGTGGAGTCCACAATTCTTCACTGGCTTTAAGCTGCTCCAGGACAAAAATAGTTACCAACGCTTAATGTCTAATCAAAATAACTCATTTCATCAAAGCTGCAGTGCACAGTCTGTGCTATAGAGCCTCTTTCAGCCTCCGGACAAGGCATTCACAGTCACCTCAGCCGGTCCAGGCTTCTTGCCGCTTCATGACAGAGCAGAGTGATACGGTTACCCGATTCTGTCTCTGGTCTCCTCATTTCCCTCACTGCTCAACTTCCACACTGTGTCTCACACAGTTTGGGGTCCAAGATGGAGCCCCCGGCAGGTCCCCATCACGGCCATCTGGACTTCTCACTTTATCCTCTACAACCCTCCTACAGGAAACCTCCCCATCCAGTCTCCATGAACTGGCCCACCCCTAAAGGAGACGATACTTTCTCACCTCCTGTCTTTTACATGGGTGTCTGCCACGAAATGTCCCTTCCTCCTTGTTCCAGCTCAGCCTTCTCTTCACTTTTCAGTCTCCATCTTAGTGAAACTTAACGACCAATACCATTTTTCCCTTCTTTCAAACTCCTAGAACAACGCTCGCCACACTCATTAGGAAATGACCAGAGGCAGGTGCATGCCATATTGTCTTGGGTATCTGTGCTGTCTCTTGTTTTCACCTCCTTAGGAGCAAGGGCCATGGTTTACCTTTGTTTCATTTATTACTAGCACGATACTTTTGCAGAGCAGACATTCAACATACATTGCTTCAGAAGGAAGTCAAGCAGCTGTCCCCAGCAGGGCACATCAGCCTGGGCTAAACCACAGCCACCAGGTTTCATGGCCAACCCTGGCATACCCATGTTTGCGTTTTTTTAGGGGGGGGGAGAGAGAAAACCGTGAAAGTTTTGGAGACACGTTGGTCAGGGTTGAACTTGGCCAGTGTCATTCTGATACAGCAGAGCGAACTCACCCAGCTCTTGTATGAGATAGTGCAGGGCAGACTGGATGCACTACCAGTGTTTTTATTTTGAACCCCAAGCTGGTTTTGAAAACAGCTCAAACATGTCCAAGTTACCATGGATGCCAATTGCATTAGGTTCCAGCTTGCACCAGCGCCTATTAAGTCTTGGAAACAGCTGCTTTGGAAAATGGCTCAATCAGGTTAAAAAGAAGGCCACTCTGAAGCCGGTACATAAACTGAGACTTAGGAAAGGCTTCAGATTGTTGGTGAAGCTCTCCGAGAGAGAGGTTTGTCTGAAGAGACTCGGGGCCAGCTGGAGAGGAGGGGTTTGGTTCAGTATGGGAAGGCTTCAGTCATTTTGAGAGAGGCTGCCTGGGAAGGTTGAGTCAGTTGAGGTTTGATTCGGCTTGAAAGAAGCTTCAGGAGAAACTCTACTGCAGGCGGCCTCAGCAGCGCCACCTGTGGCAACCGCAGCAACTACAATTAGCTGGATGCTGGTCCACCTCGCATCAGCGTGGCTTGGGTTCAAGCTGCCCTAGCAGCTTCTGGTTAGGACTACTGGGTACTGTGTCACTATTGGGGTAGGGCAGCTGTCAATTGTGTCCTTAAAGATTCTTCCCTTATCCCAATTTCCCCTTTGTGAATAAAGCCTGTTGTTGTTTCTCAAACCCTGAGATTAAGTCGTGTCTTGCATTTTGTGAGTACATGGGTAAAGAAACCACAAACTGTGAGATCCCCAAGGTGAGAAGGTTTGCACTGTTTCACAATCTATAAATACTTGCCAAGTATCTTCTAAGTGAGTTCCCACAAAACACTAGGAAGAGTGTGGACAGTGATACTTAATAAGTCTAGGTTTTTAACTCAATAGCTAATCACTGGATAGGAATTTATTACTCCAAAGACTATAGAAGACTAAAAACTGAATGAGATACAGGTCCTAGCTTCAAAAGTTTTCCAATCTTGAAGAGAGCAAGGCTTTTTGAAAGAGAGGACAGTGTTTCATACAGGTGTTTTTAAAAAGTGTGATTGGAATTCAAAAGCAGAAATCTTGGGAGTTTGGTACCTCAGAAGGGGTGATTCAGAAATTTTAAATTGCTCATTTCTGGGTTTAAAATATATAAATAGTCGGCAGCAGGAGTCCTCTGCAGAAGATATATATATATATATTGCGTTCTATTTCTAAATAATATATATATATATATATATATATATATATATATATATATATT